CACATAACAGCCTCTGAAGTAAGGAAAATAAAGAAAAAAAAATCACCTTCAACTGCAGTCCACCTCGTGTGATCACCGCCTTCCTGATAGCAATATTCGGTGTCGTTAACACACAGCGATAACAATAGGAATATGGGTCTCGGATTTGCTTCGGTCTGTTTTGCCTTGGCGGGTGACTGGTTCACAACACTCGTATACTCATTCTTTCCTCGAACCTTTATCCGATATCTAAGTTATCTTAATGTATAACGATAAAAAAAGCCCAGAAGAAAGGTGCAAGAAAACACTGGGGTGATGTTTTTGTGAAAAAAAGAAAATGACGTTGGACACAACCCTAACACAAAGGGACAAACAGTCACCATGAACCAATACTACATCGTCATCATATACATAACATAACTAGGTTCACTGTTAATGCATTTAAACACGTGGTCTTTCTCACGTCAGATAACAAATAGAACAAGCCGGATACTTAGTTTTGCATATCAATGATTCATGTCGGACTGTAGCAGGCCTACAGGTCAAGGAAGGAAGTGTCCGCGGGCAAGTCAACACAACATTCAAGGGTAAAAACAAGTAAATATAACTTTCTACAAGATAGTCCAATTTCATTTATTTTTATTAAAACAACAGTTGAAACACGTGACTGATAGAAAAATCAATTAGTTTCAAGTTTTTATTCGAACTTTAGGCCTTAGGCCCATCAGTATATAATATATATATATATATACACAATACACAATGTATAGAGAATTATTGATTCTCTGAAATAAATACAATGGACATTGATATGTGAAAAAAATAAGGGTTTCTTAATTTGTTTGCTTCAAATATACATTTTCCTAGCATGCATAATCTTCACAATTTTGGACACTTAACAACTGGATAGCTTTAAAAACAGAAGGATTTTTCAAATAATATTTCTTAATAAACCATTCTCTAAGATTTTTACAATTACTGCAGATCAATAAAAGATGGTATTCATCTTTTACATCAGTGGAGTTACATTCTCTACAATGTCGTTGCTCCCTAGGTATATTTCTATATCTTCCAGCCTCTATAGCCAGTGTGTGGGTAGACGTACGAATTCTAGTAGTACAAATTTGATATTTTGTAGAAATATATTTGGTGAGATAAAACTGGAGAGAAAAAAACTGTTCCAAAAGGTGTTTATATAGGAAACATTTTGGTGAAATTTCTATAGAAGCTCGTATAGTCTGTTTACTTAAAAATCGTCAGTAATTTGACTCGATTTTCTCCGATAGAACCAGAATCAATATTGCCAGATGCTACTTCCTATTTTCGTGCTGTGAAAAGCCAACTTATCGTTTTATACCTATAAAGAGATATTTATACATATAAACTTTATTTGTTTTACAATAATGATGAAACACGTTATTTCAACGTATAGTAATCACTCTTGTTGGCCCGTATTTTATTGCACGTAGGGGTCTTATAAACAATAAAAATAGTTCATATAATCCTTTCCATGTGGGAGATATCTCTATCACACTTGAACATTTATTTTAAATATTTTGTAATAAATATATTTCATTTAAAGACATTTACATGTATTTCATTCAGAATTGTCTTTTCTTTATTTCAAGCTATATCTATTTCATTTTTTTCTAGTTCATTCCAAGTTATTCTAAGATGTTTTCATTTCATTTGAAATATTTTTATTTCATACTTCCGCAATCTATAGATATAAAGTGTTATGCTGGCTGACAATAATCCTAATACCTTTGGGCAATCGTTCGCGGACCATACAATTGTATATTCACGTTAAAGCCCTAAAGACATACTCTTAAAAAAAATCGTCACTTTCAGTATCGCAAGAGGCCATATGTACACAACACCAGTATGGAACGAAGCACCATCTAGTTAATAATTGGTAGAGTTCTCAGTAATGTATTTTCTTTGATATTTTTTACACTTCAACAATGGTACCCCCATGATTCTAGTAACTGGAAAAAATAATATTCAAATATAATCTAGAACAAGAGGCCCAAGAGAGCCTGTATCGCTCACCTGAATATTTAAGCAGTCATAGCAAAATATTCTCATTAAATATTATATTGCACTAAAAATATTTCCCTCGCAAACTTTGTTGGCTCCATCTGTTGAAACTACCAGCAAAATATTATTATAAGATTCTATGCTTTTTGATTCTTCTTCAGAAGTTGCTTGACATATTTTTCCCTGTGATCTTGTCAGTAGGTCAATGTCATTTTCCTTCTCAAATTGGTTAGCTCTATTCCAAAAAGCTACCAGCCAAATCTTATGAATCCATTCCTTTTAGTTCTCAAGAACAAATCCATTAAAATGTTGTTGACCTCTGTGACCTCTAAAGTAGGTTGAGGTCATTTTCATTTGCAAACTTTGGTGAGCTCTATCCCGGGAAGTCACCAGCCAAATATTATAATTTTATGCCTTTTAATTCTT